GGGGGGGGGGGGGGGGACAGGACCTCTCACCTAATTTTTTCAGCCAAAAGTCAGACGGAGAAGCTGTGAAAGAAAATAGTTAAGCTCCTCAGGAGCAGAAGTGCCCAAAGTCACCTTCGAAAGCCTCTCCTGCAGAAGGACTGAAATATCCGCATTGCTCAAGGACAGAAACTTCATTCCATTTCTGGCTTTTATTAAGGAAAAAACAAAGGTGGGTGAGGAGCTGCAGCAGGTTACAGAACTGGTTCTTTTCAGTCCTTTAAGATCGATTTTAATACATAATTATCACAGTGTGTAATTATTGTGGAGAATAGTATTCTTTCTCCTCCAGTGAATTGGCTCATAAGGAGATGCTCAAGCCTCACGGGAAGGGACAGAGAACCCTGTGCCTGCTTCTCCAGAGCAGCTCTCTCTCTCAGGTAACCAGCTCGTTAGATAAGCAATTAGAGCACTGATCAACCACCACCTGGCCTGCAGAATAACTGCATTGGGGTGTCAGGCTTGGGAGAGACAAGTATCCTGGACAAGTGCCCACGGGCATTCAGGAAATGTCACGATTTTGGTTTTTTTCTTTTGCATTTCCTGCTAAATTCCAGGTCTCTGACGAGTATCTCTAGTTTTGATCTGCAAGTTTTCATTTACCAGAATGACTTAAAAATTTTTTTTTAGTTTTCACTGGTCCAGTTCAGGCCTTAAAACCTAAAGCAACACAAGAACAGACTCTGAAGGGAACTCCTGCTTCATCCTCGGCGGTGGCATCTGCCTGCAGAAGATGGGCTGACGGGTAACCCTGTGCATGTGCAAGCATGACAGCCACGAGCAGAGCTTGGAGAATGAGGTCAACGTGTTTCCTTGAGAAATGTGCTCTGTAACACCTTCTGGACCCTTTTTACTAGGTCCTTGTACAGTCCAAATTTTGCTTGCAGTGTATCCACACATCCAAAAAAGTCCTTCTCATCCAATGTGGGGCTGACACCTTGTCTAACCAGCAGTATTCTGAAAGCAGAAATCTTCTGCTATTGATCAGAAGCATTAAAACATAACAAGACGCTAACAGAGTCAATTTTGAGTTGGGATTAATAAGCAGACAGAAACAGTTCTAAATGAGTTAGGCTGGGAGTAAAAATAGCAGGGAACATGATGTAAATCAAAATACACCAAGAAATCAAAGTACTTCAACTGCCCAGTCAATTAATTTGCTTTTATAATTGCAGTTACTTGCATTATTAAGAGAAACTCATTCTCATAAATAGAAGTTACTCAGACTAATGCAATGCACATTTCCTTCCCAGATTTCCATTAGAGAAAATAGATTTCGGGGCAGATGATGCACATCTGAGTAAGTTGTACAAAAATAAAGCTGATATCCTTGTGAGGTTAATGGCTAATTTAAAAACAAAAAAGGGGAAGAAAAAAAAAAAAAAGGATGTTTCACCAGTAAGGTGCTAAACAAAAATTGCACTTGTAAAATAATCCACAAAAAGGAAAGAGAGATTCGTGCTCTCTTTGCTTCTGAGGGCTGCGATCATTTGACTATTGAGTGGAAACACGAGACAAGATATTACAGAATTATCGTGCATTCAGAAAGGGTTCAGAGAAAGATCAGCTGAAGCATGATAGAAAATAATGGGATTTACATTGGAAAAGAAGGTAAATAACAAGGGCATGATTAAAAAAATGTAAATAGACGTAGTGATGTATAAAAGGTAAGTCAGGACCTCCTGCAATCCCTCCCTCTCAGAAAGAGGAGCAAGAGGTGAAAGGTGCAGACCTGGAGAAAAGAAGAGCCACTTGCCTGGGAAGCTGCACCCCTGCCCTGTCGCAGCAAGGCCAGGAGTTCTGCGGGATTTGGAAGCGTTTGTGTGGGAACCAGAGGAGCCAGAGTCTCGTGGTGGTCCAGCGTGGTACCCGGAGGCCTCGCACAGCCCACCCCTCGCTCCCCATCCCAGGGGCTCTCCGACAGCCCCGCCACGGCCCCCAGCTCACCTGCTCGCCCACCCTGTGAGCGACGAGGGCAGCTCCCTCCTCCGCTTCAGCCTCGTTGATGGGACGGATGCGAAGGGCCACCTGCACACGGGACACACGCATGGGTTACGTGTGCTGGGGCCACCCAGACTAACCCACAACGGGGCTCAGCTCTGTGCAAGCACCACCGATATCTGCTGCTTCGTACTGCACCTCTGCCACTGATCAGTCCTTAACCTTAAGGCCTGGAGAGTTTAAGAAAGTTTATAAAGTTTAAACCAGTTAATTCTCCCATGACTTGCACTTTTCTCTTGACAAATTCTTCCTCCCTCCTCCCCTATTTCTGTCTCTAACACAGCAAGACTCCAGCTGATCGACAGAGGAGGCGGCAGAGCGAACGCAGCCACACCGTTGCTGCTGCCAGACGGAACCTTTGGAGATCTGGGACCATGGTACCAACCGCCGCACGCTTATAGCTTCCCCCGGTGCTCCCAAAACACTGATTAAAGTTATCTGTGACAAAGAAAGGGAACTGCGTTTCACTAAGTACCCATTTCGTTTAATCCCCGGCAGCGATCCTTATGAGCTTGTTCAACCAGATCTGAGCAAGTTGGCCCTGATCTCAGCAGGTCCCGCGGGGTTCCTCGGAGGCTGGAATTCATTGCACGACTGGAGCAATTATACAGCAGCAATTAACTGCCAGTGCCTTCTGCCACAACTCAATCAGTCAGGAACACAGTTCTCTATTTTGAAACACGGATGATAATTTGACTCAAAGATTTAAGACACACAGGTTGTACTTGTCAGTATTGGTAATGAGCACGTACATTGCAGCCTGTTTAACGTATAGGTGAAGCAACAGAGAAAGTGTGGTGGCTATTAATTGGGCCCCCTGAAGCTGGGGTCCTGCTCTGGCCCCCACTGACTTGGCACCCAGTGGAGGGTCTCCAGAGAAGACCACCAATTCAAAATTGCACCTAAAAGCTGTCCTTAGCATCTCAGTTAACAGAGATTTGAAAAATTCTGTTTTCACCTTTCCATAGCTGTTTTTCCCTTCATAAAATCCAGCAGCGTCCCCTTGGCAGCTCCTGACAGGATAGCTGGGGCTGGTAAAACACTGCATAACACACATGAACGATGCCTCCTCAGGAGAGTGTAATTATTGAAACAGACTCTTTCCACAGCCCCACAAGCAACTAGTTTCTATAGGAACCAGATTTATATCCACAATAACAATTCAAGCTACCTGTCAATGTAATGAGGGTTTCACGAACAGCTCCCTGTCTCGAGCACTGTAGTAGATATTTTTGAGTAGCTCCAGCAACAACAAAGGAACATTTCTTGACTGTGAGTATCTCAAGAGTACAAGGTGAGCTCCTTGCCTTTGGATAGCTTTTAATATTCACAAGAACGCAACAATTAAGTGAGCTTCGTCATCTCCCTAAACGCGTCTGAGTGACAGTTACGAGCATCTCATTCCCATGGGCTGAACTCATCTCTTCGAAACATTCGGAAATATTATCCATAATCCCAAGTCCTGCAGGAGGAATAGGAGATAGTGCAAGTCTCTCTTGGACAGCCGTAACCTCTGGACTAGTCTGGTTAAGCACGGGATTCGGTAGCCCTAACCACAGAGGGTAAGAAAACAAACCCGAATAAGCAGCATGTGGAGACGGGCCACACCAAGTACTACGGCTTTTTCATGCATCAGAGAGGAATGCAAGCTATTTGAGATATTATTGACTTTATTTTAAGCAATTCCACGTTGAGCAGAGGTTCCTGTGTCTGTCCCAGTCACATTTCAGCAAAATATGAGGGCAGTGCTTCAGTTTAACTGAGAGTCACAGGGCTGAAGGTTAACGTTTGGGAAAGGATTCAAAGCACTACTACTGATCAACACGGAGAGATGCTGAGGTCCTGCACCAATAGCGAGGGCTCAGACAGGAATATAATCCCAGCTGCTTTTAGCTGCTTATCATGAATCTGTCACCCAAACCGATCCCAAAGACACGGGCACACTGAAAATCCCTGTCCAAGGAGGACCAGCAACCACCACCTGCCAGGTAACCCAGCCTCACCTCTCCTACTATGCATTTTTCTCCTCTGCAGGATACTTACACCCAACTTCTGCTTTAAATCACTCAGAGCTTTGCACAGAGAGAGCAAGTATTTTTTTTCCTGCACCTGGGCCACAGAGCCCAGGAACACAAGAGGAAGGATGCTGGGGCTGGGTACAGCCCAGCTGCTCCTCCCCATCCCGCATCCTCCGTTAATCAAGCAGACTCACCGTGAGCTGCTGCTCCTGCATGGCTGAGCCACGAGATGATGCCAGCTCAGGGCTGGGGGATCTGCCCAGGGGGGTGCACATCGAACTGGAGCCCTTCAGGAGACTGCACAGGCAGAAGACTGAACAGTTCAGAGGCAGCAGCAGTGATCACCCCAGGAGAGGGAGAGAGGCAACACCTGCGCTCCCCCAGCTGGGAGGTGACTGCAGGGACAGCAGGAGAGGCAGCACAGAAATCCTGAGCCCCAGGAAGCAGCGTGCCACCACTGCACCTTGCATGGGACATGGTGAAAGGAGTCACGATAAGGAAAATGACCCACCTGCAAGCCCAAATTAATTCCTGATGTGCAAATCCATCTCCACACACCCTTGGTGAGGAGCCCACAGCCTGAAGGGTTGCCCTCTGGGATGCCAGATCCCTTCCCCTGGGATCAAACATGCAGTACAACCAGCCACAGGGGCCCATGCTCCACCAAAAGTTGAGCAAGAAGCACCCTAACCCCTCCAGGCTTGCACAAGAACCAACAACAACCACCCAGGCAGTCAGGAAACAGTTTGCTACCTCCCTGAGCCAAGTGCAAACTTCCATCTCATTGTCACTTCATACACAGTGGTATTTCATGACGCCCACATTCAGGAAAGCAACCCTTCAGTATTTTCAGTGGCAGCCCATTCATTTCAACAACCCATTAAAAAAAACCCACAACAAGATTACCTTTTGTCTTCATTATTTATTGACAGTAAAACAGTCAAAGCTCAAAAGTTACAGTAAGGTTTTATTAAAAAATATTAGAATTTAAGAAGTTAAAACTTAGTATAGCAAGTGAACAAAACTTGCTTTATGAAGTTTGCATTAAGGACTGTAGATGGTTAAAAGGTCATGAGAATGTTTATTTATTACAAATTCAAAACAAAAACTGTGAAAGAGAAGACTAGCCCAGAATTATATGAATTGTTCTGGTTAATCTTGCTATTTAAGAACAATCATTAAAAATACGTAAGACAATACTGTAACAAACACAGTGAGAGATACTATCCTACTAAATGCTTAAGGTTTCTTTCCCTCCCTGTCCCCTCAAATTCTGAACCCTGAAGGCATTCAGTGGAGATACAACTGCTGTTAGAAGCCTCCCGCCCCCATATCTCTATACGGTACCTACAAACCTGCTTCTGGTTCCACCATCCTTCAGAAGCGCTTGTAAGGGCCACAAACCACAGGCTGAAAACCAGCAACACAGAGTGCTTGAAGCCACAAACCAACATGGGTTAAATCCAACAAGACCCTTACTTCCTACTACAACTCATGTTATTCTGAGCTATGCCAAATAGACTAGTTTACCAAACACAAACCCATAAAGCAACTTCAGTAGCAGATAATTTGCAAGAAGCATTTGAAGTAAAGACAAAGTAATTGAAGGGAGCAATATCAGAAGTGCCAGTGTTACAGATCAGAAGAGGCCTCAACTCCTTCTCAGCTTCCAAAGCTCTTACAGGACCATAAACATTTTTTTTTTCCTGCTCAACAATGATCCACTCTTCAGAGACGCATGTCAGAAGAGGAATCTATTCATTTAACATTCAAAGTAAAGAAAGGTAATGCCAAAGTCAGCTTCCAAAGCTCTTACAGGACCATAAACATTTTTTTTCCTCCTCAACAATGATCCACTCTTCAGAGAGGCATGTCAGAAGAGGAATCTATTAATTTAACATTCAAAGTAAAGAAAGGTAATGCCAAAGTGGCCAGGAATAAAACACAGTAGCCTGTCAAAACCTCATTGCATGGAGTCAGGGGAAAAAACCCACCCTTTCAACTCAATTCATAACTCAGAAAATGGTTGAGAAGTCAGCTCCTCACAACTAAAGGGTAGTTAAAATTACTCCTGCAATAGAAGTTCAAGCCATTACTGGAAAATGTTGATGTGCTACAAGTTCTTCTGCATTGTTTTGCCAGAAAGTAAATATTATTTTCCAGTCCACTTAAGAGATGAGCTTGGTAAATATTGTGGACAAAACTTTAATCATCTATCTGTACATACAGATTATGAATGAACAAATGCAGAAAACCAGAAACTAATATAGACTTCTGATAAAAAAAACAAACAAAACATCTGCTGGTTTAAGAGTGACCTACTGAAACAAAGTCAATACTATCATTATGGAACAATTGTTTTTGAAGAGTCTTCCTGGTGAAGAGAACATTGGAATAGTTCACCTCAGGACAAAGAAAACCAAGTGCTAGAAACATTACTGTCCCTTGGCTGCCTCCAGCTGAGCAGGACTACCCTCTGCCCAAAGGGTACCTTCTGCTTTCCACGGCATGTGTATACAGAGCACTTCTCTGAAAATTAGCCATGTTCTCTAATAAGACTGAGACTAATCCAGTAATTCCTGAGGCTAGTATCAGTTTGCAAATGGTTTAAGGAATCCACTCATTTTCTAGTCACTCCACCATAGCAGACAGGTCAATTTGTCAGATTAATGAGCCATACCATCATTGTGAAACACAAACCACAACACAAAACCAGAAGAGCCATAAGGAACCGAGATTTTAAAAAAATCCAAAATGAGCCATATAGTCAATATAGCAAACACACTCTTATTACTGTGCAGATGTTTGACTTTCATCATTCAGGGAAAGATTCCCTACAAACAACACGTAGCCAGCCTGGTTTTAGTATAGGTCTGCTTTTATTTCCATATTCAGCTGTTTGAGGGAGACATCCTTTCGCAATCTGAAAGGAGGAGGATATAGCCCACTGTAGTGCTGCTTCAGCACACTAAAACACATCATACGAAAAATGGTTCTGTTGACTTTTTCCCAAACAAAATGAACACTTGTCTGTGCATGTGGGACATAGAAAGAGTCCTGAAACAGAAACATCATGTGTGTGTAAGACAGAGGTGCAGTGATGAATCCCACCTCACTGGCAACAGTCAAAAACTGCCAGCTGGCAAGTACTGCACAGGAGTCAGGAAGTAAATACTGGTAGTAGTGGATTTAAAAAGAAAAAAAAAATTAAACCCTAAAAAAAAAAAAAAAGAATAAAAATTTAAAAGCAGCGCCTTCCCAGTATCTCACTGCAGCAGGCAGCAAGACTTAAAGGCACTACAATGTGTCAGAATGGAGAAAATCTGGTGCATCCACCCTTCCAGAGTGCAAGAATATGGATTAAAAATTCCAAAGTTGACGAAGGCTTTCTGAAAATGAACAAACTTCTTTTCAGCACAAGATATGGTGGTGCTACAGAAAAGGAAAAAAAAGGTGAATTAGTTACTGTGCTTTTACATGAAGAAGACAATCTCACTATAGATGCTAGCTGGTGAAATGCTACATAAGCATGTGTTTCACCTGTTCTTGTTTAAATCCATACACTAAGCAGCTCCTCTCCCTCTTCCGTCTATAAAAGGATCTCCTGAGTATGACACACAGATAAGCCAGATCCAAATATATTCAAAGGTATCATGGTTATTAATTTTTCTACAGGCCCAAGAGGTGTACTGCTCATATTTTACTTCAATTCCTTAGATATCTGGAGGCTGAAGAGCTGCAGGGAGACTTAAGTTGCAATAAGCATACTTCCAACCTCCTGTTCCTCTTCCTTAAGTGAAGTCCTAAACGTGACAGAGCAGGAACCCATTGCAAGTTTTACATCCTATGTGAGTGTCTTCACTATCAAAATATCTTTTCCCTCCTCAATACAACAATGTCAAGCTCCCTAAAGGACATTTTCTACAAGAGGGGCTGCAAGGAGCCTCTATTTTCAACATACAAATATATAATTCGAATTCACAAAAAGGAACCGGTAAAAGCACTGGATTAAAAGATTCCAGTAAGAAGCAGTGACAGTCAGGACACAAGAATCTGCTACTACCTGAATTCTACCCAACATTTCTAGAAAATGATAGTAGAGCTCATGTGCATACACAGTATTCTCCTCAAAACAGCTCATAAATGTGACTGATTACTTCTAAAAAAAGCTTTTGTTTGTCCCCTCTAGCCACAGAGAAAACATAAACCAACTCAGAGAATAACACATTCACACGTTCTGCAACAAGCAGACCTAGCTTTCTCAAGTAAATTATTGAATCTATAGCAACAGCAGACAAAGTTTCTCTCTACTGCGAGGTATGCTATCTTACCACAGTTTATTAATTACTCCGGTTCTGCAATGGTAATAATTTCTTCATTGATAAAAAATTCAACAGTCTCCTCCTCCCAGTCATCAACATTGCTGTCCAGCTCATCTGTGTCCACCCCTGGAATGGAGAAAACATTAACACTGAATGCCTCAAACAAGGCAGCAATGGAAAGATTTCATGCTCTTGGCAGAAACCGTCCTTCAACCAGCAGTGAAACAAGAGGTATTGGGGGCTTTAGATCACAAGTACATGCCAAATTCATTAAATGACAACCAAGTCACTACTATCTGCCACAACAGGGCTTTAGTGGATTTTCTCGTTAAATGCAACACCCAAATCTCTTCTCAGTCTTATCCCAAGGTCAAGCCAATGCTGGCCTTGAAGGGTAAAAGAGGTGAGGTAGAGCACAGATACCAACATCTGGCAGCCAGCACTATTTGAGCTTTCTCTCGCAGAAAACAAAGAGCCTCAAGATCTGTTGTGATTCAGGATAAAAAGTATAAATAACCTTCAGAGAACAAGGTACTAGCTTTGGCAGGAAATGGAGGGAGAAAAAGTGGGTAAGTCCCCAGAACAGTTGTTACTGGGTTAGAAGCAGTAGTTATCTAGCAGCAAGTCTTTACAAGTACTGTGTGTGGCCAACTACTACGTGTGTCTTACCTCCTCGAAGCTCTAAGCGCTCGTTCCTCTGCTCCATGTATAACTCTTGTGCCATCTTGCGGTACTTTCTGAACTCTTCCATCATCGTACGTCTCCTTTCCACCAGCTCCTACGGAGGCAGGAAGAGGCTGTTAAACCTCCCCAGTAAATCAAATCCACATGTGATGCATTTGTAAGTCAAACTTTTTTCTCATCAACATACTTTTTACTGACTTAAACAAAAGAAAAAAAAAATCTTACACTTAACGTAATAAAAAACCTGTTTTGCTGAGGGTTTTTTTTTA